CAAGAGAAAAAGGTCCAATTAAAAATTTATCAATTATTCCTGCCCATACGTTTAAACTAAACTGGTGTTGATGTCTTGAATGCACGATAACACGTGGGTTTTCTTCATCCCAATTATGATTATTATGAAAATGGAATATACCGTCCCTGGTAAAACTAGCTTACTAGAGTTTGCTCTGTATATAAAATTCATTGTATCTCACAAACGAAGACAGACAGGACATATATTTATATGACTTTTTTTCATTATTTTTAGGCGTACAATCAGCTCCCGAAGTGGGACCCATTAGTTACGAAATCTGTACATAGCAACGCTGTTTCTTGCACCGTTACATAAACTGCTCCATCTGGTGGATTTTACTTCTACCTGTAATGAACTGCAACTGAACGTAGATCGCAGTGAGATCGCATAGATCACAGTAGTCGCCATTGATTCATCTTTGGACCACGTGTTTTCGGACTTCAGCCTTCAGTGTTCAGCTTTACGCCAAGTGGCCCAAGTTATTTCATCGGCGATTATATTGTACAATTGAACGGTAGTCTGTACACGCAGCTAGTATCTATCCGGTTGGCGATACACGCGCGGCGAGTGCACGTTATTGTAATTTCTCTGGCAGCGGTAGACACCGGCGCTTGATGAAGGTAGGCAAGGTGAAAGATAAAGCGAGCCAAGTCCATTTACAGTGGACGGTAATTTATTGGTCGCGGAACGCGAGATATCGTTAATCGTCTTGCATCTATTCTACGAGTGTCTCCACCGATCACCTGCACAGGTGTGTATAGGTGCGCGTTTATAAGTGATTTACAGTGCGGACACGAGGCGCATGGTTACAAAGCGTTATTGATTTAAATATTAAAATATATATTATATATAAATTAATATAAATTATATATAAATATATAATATTTTAAATTAATATAAATTATATATAAATATATATTAAATATTAAAATTTAAAGCGTCGTTCGATTGGTTTAACCTCTTGCGCTGAAATGACGTGCCATATCGCAATATTTTCTCAGTTTTAAATATATTTAAATGTTACCCAGGCAAAACAAATGATAACTTTATTACTTCTTAATAATTTCTATCCAGTGATATCGTACCGACGAGTTCAAGAGAAAAAGAAAGCAACGAATATATTGTATATGGTTCGGTCACTCGTTATGGTCCGCGAACCAGTTGCCAGCGCAAGGGGATTAAAACAATCTGGCCAACCTAGTCAAATTTCCCTTAAAGCCGCCGCCACGTGTAGTTGACGATCTTATCTTCGTCTCAGATTTTAAGACAAGAAAACGTGGGGAAACGAGTTCTCAATGGTAAATTGTTTTTAAATTGAAACAGATTAAATTATCAAATAGCAAATTGTGGAAAAGTCACAACTATTTTAAAGTACATAATACTATACACGGTAGTTATATTGGAGAATATTTGAAGCAAAACTAAGATTTAGAAGCCTCGTTGAAAATTCTTGAAATGGAGTGCGCGTTGAAGTCTTATTGTTTGCAGAAGATGTAGGAACACGAAACAGGGCCTACACCCGTCCTTTGCACCAGAGGCTATTTGAGCCGAGCTGTACATATATCATATTGCCACGTTAACCACGTCGCTTCGGGTCGTACTTCACGACTACTCTAGTAGCCAGAAAACTAACCTCTCAACGTTTACCGAGCCACGCTGCGCGATATCTGCCCCCTTTCCTACCCTTTCGCTCGTTCCTCTTCTCACTTTCTCGCTCTGTAACCGTTCAAACATTCGTTTGAAATGGTCAGTTGTCACTGAAAGAAACGTCATACATGTTTAGGAACTATTAGAGTTATATTATGGAACGTACGATTTTATTACTTTGATAAATATTTTTATTTATTTATGTCAAGCCTTACTACTAAGAATATCCAAAAGTGAATGTAGGTTAATCTCAAAAAGTTTGAGATCTCTTGTAAATCACCGAAAGAAAAAAAATATCCCCAGCGTTGTACTTGCGCTGGCTGGCGGACCATAACGAGTGACCGAATCGTATACAACAATTTGTCGCTTTCTTTTTGAACTTGTCGGGTATGATATCACTGGATAGAAATTATTGAGAAGTAATAAATTTATTATTTTGCTTGCCTTGGACTTAAATATACTTAAAACTGAGAAAATGTTGCAATTTGAGACAAAAAATTCTCATTCCAGCGCAAGAGGTTAAAATAGTGTAACTTTGTCCTAAACGAAACCTATACATCACGAAACCTAGAAATCGATGACTGTATCAACGTGTGCGTGTGGGTCTTTAACTTATTCGTCGCGAAAGTGTTATCACAATCCGAAATTTCAAGCTACGCCTGGCGATTTTTATCAAGGTCCAACAGATATCGTATCGCCACGGATAAATCAGAGAAAAATAAAAGATCAATCTCAAGGAACGTAACGTTTCATCCAAGCCGTTTGTTTTGACTGATCGATGTAATACCGCGTAACGAATGACTACTCCGCGGCTAGAAACCATAACGCCATTCGTTCACGCGGGAAGATTGATCCCTCGGCCAACGAGCGATTTCAATTAATACCGATAATCAAGGTCTACGTTCGGTGTAAGCATTTAAGCAACGAAAGCATCGGCCACGAGTAACAATAGGTTAGGCATGAACACGCCAGAATGAGGGCGTACGGTTTAAAGGATATTAATTGCTACATGGTTGCTTTGATAGTTACCAAAGGGAAAGAGAGAGAGAGAGAGAGAGAGAGATGCATCGCTCGATATTTAATCGTCAGAAAGGTCGTAGGTCTTTGGCAGTATCTCGGTGAAGACCGGCTTATTTACCAGAGTTTGCATGTCGGAGCTCCGCAGGGGTGCACGCTCTAGATTCACATTAGATGCCGACGTGTTCCGAGAATATTCCTCTCTTCTGTAAAATGTATTTATATATATGTGTGTGTGTATATATGTTTCTTTGTATGCAAAAATTGAGATGACCCTGTGATAGATAGGAACGCGTCTACCTTTGCTCGTTCTTCGTGTACGAAACAGGCATCCTTGAATTCCTACCTCTTACTGATTAGTTCAGTGTTTTTTCGTTGATGTTGAATTTTCTCACCTGACAATAACGATAGTGAAATTATTCGTTAACTTAAATTTTTATTTATTAAATTAATTTTATTAATTACTCAGTTAAATTTTCACTTGTTAAATTTACTTTACTGCTTACTTAAATTTTTATTCATTAAATTTATTTTATTACTTGGTTAAATTTTCGCTTGTTAAATTTATTTTACTACTTACTTAAATTTTTATTTATTAAATTTATTTTATTACTTAGTTAAATTTTCACTTGTTAAATTTATTTTACTACTTACTTAAATTTTTATTTATTAAATTTATTTTATTACTTAGTTAAATTTTCACTTGTTAAATTTACTTTACTACTTACTTAAATTTTTATTTATTAAATTTATTTTATTATTTAGTTAAATTTTCACTTGTTAAATTTTACTATTTACTTTATTTTACTATTTACTTAAATTTTTATTTATTAAATTTATTTTATTAATTACTTAAATTTTTATTTATTAAATTTATTTCACTACTTACTTAAATTTTTATTTGTTAATTTATTACGCTTGCTGATCTTATATACGAAATGTGACGATCGATTCAGATTATTCAGAGAACGATCAGTCGAATTACAGTTTTTAAAGTATGTGTTCATGCGAGATAACTAGATAACTGGATAATTTCACAGCGAGTTATCAGCGATGAAGAAAGAAGAACGTGCATATATGTAGCGAAGAGTGTAACTGTACTGATCACAATGAAAACCTCTTGGTAATTTAAACTTTGCTGATGTGACTTTGTAAAAAAAAAAAGATCGTACATTAATTTATATATATGTATTATTTTAATTTATATTAATAGTTTTAATTTTAAAGTTGTAACCTTCGAGATCACGGTGGAGATCATTCACGAAAAAAAAAAAGTTCTCAACGCGTTTGAATTTCTATAATTTCAGCAAAAGCGACGTATCCTCGCTGCACGATGTAAAAATCATCTTCGAATACGAGACGATTTCTTTTTTTTTTTTTTTTCTCTACACAAAGTTATATCAGTTCAAATTTCACACGCGAGATGAGAAGAAAGGCAAATTGCCGGGATATTTCATTGTTTTCGCGCAGTTTTACACACTTCTTTGCGAACGCGCCAGAGATGTAATTTTCAAAAGCACACCGGCGCGTTGCATAGTAGTAACAAGGTATCAGACTCTCGGCTCTGCGTGTAAATCGCATCGCGTTTCTGCCGACGATCCTTTTAAGAAGCTCGCGAAGGTCGAGCAGCGTATCGCCACGATCTCCGATGGCCACTTAATTTCCAGCTGTAACCCGAGGTAAAGAGGTACGTACGTGCGAGAAGTGGTTCGAAAGTGCTGCTTATCCACAGCTGGCGCGGAAAACGGAGAGCGAAATTGAAGGAGAAACGAAAGAGGCGATAGGGTGTAAGCCGGCGATCGTTATTACGCGGCTACCCACATCAGGATTGTGGCCGAGGTGTCGAGCCAAGTCACGAGTCGTGAATTCGTCGCAGATTTTGCCGGTAATTTGCGGTAATATTATAATCAACCCCTTGCTCAGCCATTGAAGACGTGGCGAGCCAACGCTTTCGACCAAATTGATCGCAATCGTACGTCTCGCACGAACCTGTACCCCCTTCGGTGCTTTCTTTTTTCTCACTCGTTCCGAACCTTCGAAAATCTCTCCAAATCGCGCCATTTGCTGTCCAATTGCCCTCCGAACGGACAAACATTTGTCATCGAGTAACTTCTGATCGATACTATCGAATCGAATTTCAATCACGATACGCTAACGCCATGTACTTTAATGATTTTAAATCGAGGACTGCTCGTTCTTTTCTTTTCTTCTTCTTTTGTTTCAGACGATATTGTAGGAGTTCACTGCACTCACGGTGTAAACCGTTCCGGATACCTGATTTGCAGGTTAGTATGCACCTCGTACGACGCAGTCGATTCGAAACGATCTCAGACACGCTTGACGTTTATATATTTGCGAATCGAATCGATGAATAGGTGTCGCGAAAACCGACGGAGCCGACGCACATGTATAAATTCGTGTATTTCGTTGCAGATATCTCGTACAGCAACTGGGTTGGAAGCTCGACGATTGCTTGAAAGGTAGGCGAAGCCCTAAGTAGACTATACTTCGACTATACTTTTCGAATTTTCTCGCAAAAAAAAAAAAAAGGCGAGGTCTCCACGGGGCGAAAGAACATGGTCTCGCGGCTTGCCAATTGCGCCATTTCGTCTTGTCTGTTTCAGCGTTCGAGGCGGCTCGCGGCTACCCGATCGAGCGGCGAATCTATCTGAACGCGTTGCAGAGAACGCCGCGCGAGAAAGTCGACACGAGCAAGATCAGCGCGGAGCTACCGGCAAGCCAGCCACCAGCGATCCGAAAGCGCGTACCGTTCAAACACCCGTACCCGATGCCGCCAAATTTCGCGGCCAAGCGACGCGGTTTCGCGAAAGACGGCGGCCCGTTCTCGCTGCTGCCGCCCCCTCCGCCCCCGCCGCCGCATTTCGCTTTCGGCGGTCCGCCGCCAGCGCCGTTTCGTTCCATGCCACCGCTTGGCATGCTGCCTCCGCCTCCGCCGCCACCGGCGCCATCGCCGTTAGGCCATCCGCCGCCGATGTACAGGCCGAGGCTGTTCAGGTACGGACCACCGCCGCGACCAGCCATGCATCCACCGCCACCAGGATTCCCTGTTCCAGGTTTCCCGCCACCATGTCCGTCCAGGACAGGGAGATTGCCGCCGAGGTTACCGGCGTCAAAAATGCCTCCGCCACCAACTCCTCCGCCACCACCGCCTCCTCCTCCCCCAGCCCCTCCTATCCTACCACCGTCGCGGCTCAAGCACCAAGCGATGCCGAAGCGACTGCAACCGCAGAAACGAAAGTCGCAAGTGCGAAATGGCTTTGTGACGCCGGTTAGGAACACTGTCGATCGGCTCAGGCAGACTAGCCAGAGCGGTTGCGACAGGATATTGCCGAAGTTGATGAAAGAGCAGGATTTTACGGTCGATACCTTTGAGGAGAATTTGCTCGCCGTCGTCTCGAGCCAATCGAGCGGCAGGCGGTCGGCCAGGGGGAGGTTCCGTCAGATCAAGTGACGACGTGCCATTTAGGAGTCACTGTCTGTATATGTTATATGTATAATTACTCGTTTAACGACAAGCCTTTACCCGAGTTTCGTTGCTCCCTTCAGAGGACCGATTCCCGTTGTCCATCGGTCAGAGAGATTAAGTATTGCGGATTTTTTGTCGATTTTTCCGACAGCTTGGGCAGCGAGGAATCAGTGTCACTCGTCGAACAGAATATTTGTACAAAGTATCTGTGAAATTTATATATTACGAGAGAAAGAGAAAGAGAGAGAGAGAGAGAGATTGATGCTCTTACTCCTTTCTTCTTTCCCCCATGTCCCAGCACGCCAACACGTTCTCGTCACTAATGAAAATATAAATACATTTTCGTTACGTCGATCCACTGTTAACGCGATCCGATCCATCGTTTGATCCTCCTCGATCCAATTGATCATGGTTTGTACAATGTAGACGTCCGAGGATTACGATTTAGTACTTAATTAAAACGACTTACTTAATTAAAAGCGAGCGATCCAACTGTGGGGATCGCGTTTAGATCTCTGCGCCTTGGTTTTAGAGTGAAAATAAACCTTTATCGGGCAGTGTTTCATTCAGCCTCGTGTTTTATTTTCGCAAGTTTGCTTCTCAACAGACTTGACAAATTGAAACGATTGCAGCTATATATTTTATTATAGTTATACATATATTTTGTCAGTGAAATACACAATCACTCCTTCGTTTCTCTCGAATCGCGTTCGGCTTCTTTTTTCGCTGATTATTTCAAACAATCATCGTTCAATAAATCTACTATCATTCTCAGAGCTAGAATTGCTTACATAACGAAAATCTGTATGTAATATATTTTTGGCATACTTAACTAAAGTTAATTTATCTCGAGATAAACGTTCACGCCAAACAATAAACAAAAAAAGAAAAAAATGATTTTCGCCGAGTACCTTTTTTTTTTAAATACTGTGCTGTAAACATTTATTTTCATTCTACGCTCTCTGCCGTTGGTAATTGCAACGTTTCTTCGTCGATCATTCCGTATTACAATTTTTGTATTTGATTCGATTCTTTCGCATTTTTTCTTCTTTCTTTTTTTTTTTTTTTTTTTTTTTTATCGATCGCGTCGTAGGTCGATGAC